AGAACTGTAGTCTTCAATATAAACAAAGAAAACAAAAGATTCTCAACACTGGGCTAATTGGCAGTTTCACAATAAACAGAGATTAAGATTGTTGATAACCTCAGCCTGCTTGGTTCTACGGTCAACAAACACTCTTGGCACCAGCAGTCAGGAAATCAAAAGAAATTGCATTGGAAGTCGGCTGTCAGAGACCTCTCCAGAGTACTAAAGACCAACAATATTAGTCTAGAGACCTGATCCAGGCCATGGTCTTTGCAATTACTTGCTATACTTCAGAGTACTGGACAACTGAGGATGACAGGAGGATCGATGCCTTTGAGCTGTGGTGCTGAAGAAGAGTGAACATACCATGGACTGCCAGGAGAGGGTGAAACCAGGCTAATCCCCGGAGGCAAGGATGTTGAGGCTCCATCTCACAAACTTTGGGCATGCGGCCAGGAGGGGTAAGTCCTAGAAAAGGGACATCATGCTTTGAAGGGTGGAGGGACAGCACAGAAGAGGAAGCCCCAGGATGAGATGGACTGACTCAGTGATTAGAGAAATGGGATTAGGTCTGTCGGAGACAAAGAGATTGGCTCAGGATATGGCAGGTTTCAGAGCTAATGTACACAGGGTTGCTGAGTGACAGGTGACTCAATGGCACATCACAACAACATTCTAACAAAACCTTGTACACAAATGTAGGACTACTGACAATAGTAAAAAAAGCATAAACAATGAAATGTCCATCAATGGATTAATGAAAACATGTAGTATAACATACAGAGATATTATCCAGTCATAAACAGGAACTGATATATGCCACAACATAAACCTCAAAAACATTATTTTAAGAAGCCAAACATAAAAGGCCAGAAAGTTGGGGTGGGAGGGGAGAAAAGTGCAACAATGAATGAATGGAATTCCAAAATCTCTGTAGATGTTCACTGAAATGAATAACAAAAAGTTTTATGGAATAAAGTATATAAATAATATAAAATAAAGGCCAGAAAGTATATGTAATCCCATTCATATGAAATATCCAAAACAGGTCTCAGACAGAAAGGAGATTGGTGGTTTCTAAGGAGAGGCAGCTGGTAGGGAAAAATCAACAGTGTCTGCTTAGTGTTTCCTTTTGGAATGATGAAATGTTCTGGAATGAAGGTTGTGGTGGTATTTCTACTAAATGTACTTAATACACTAAATTTCACTGAATTCAGTGTAAAACTACTTTTAAAGGGCAGTTATTGTGTACTGTTGAGTCCGAACCAACCCATAGCTGACCCTCTGGTGGGTTTTCAGAGACTGCCCATCCTTTTCCAACAGAGCAGCTCATGGATTCAAAACCACATGCCTTCAGGATTGTAGCACAGCTTCTTGCCACTAGGCCATCAATACTCCCATATTTTTTTTTCTTTGTATTTTGCCACAACTAAAACATCAAAGAGTTGTTTTAAAAATCATCTCATATGAATTACAGGGTTAAGTGAACAGGATCTGTTGCTTTTCTATCATGTGAAATGAATGTCACCCCGGCATGTTAGTAAGGACATTCAGTAAAGGAGGGGGGGGGGAAGACCCTTGGCAAGATGGACTGGCATATGGTTAAGATGGCACGGAATAGGACAGGGTTCAGATTCATCATCCATACGGTTACTTTGAGTTATGAGCGACTCAACGGCACTTAACAACATTAAAAAACCCACAAAAGGGGAATTTTTTTCTACTACACTAGACATAACTTCTAAGAATTATTATATATAAAAGTATATCATGTGCAAATGCTGCTAGTTTCAAAACTTGTTTTGGTTTTTTTTTTTTATTTAAAAAAAGCTCATACTGTTCTTACAGTGAGAAAATAACTGAATAAAGTATTAAAACTGACCCAGTGTTTCCAGGTGAAATTTGTTCACTATCCAAACAGAAAACAAAGCTTTGTGCAGAAAACAGGAAAAAAATCCGTTAATGAATCACTGGCAAGAACACTATTCTAAACTGTTAATTATGCAAATTCTTAAGTTCTTTTTTTTAATGAACAATTTCTTTTGGCATCTTTGTATAAATGAGAACAGAACATGTTTATAACACTCCTTTGAGTCACAGCATTAAAACTTGAATGGTCATTAAAACAAACTACAACCAGCCCATGTAAAGACTTATGGATACCAACAATAAAATGGTAAACAAACCTCTCCATTTTTCACAAAAAAGTCTAAATAGATTAACCTCATTTCCTAAATTGTACTAGCATATGAAAGGTAAAAATTTTAAGAGTATGACACCTACGCAACATGTTAAGACCATTCAACATACTGAGAAACTGGCTTTCAAAATATTCTGGTTTTCAAGGAGCATTTTACTGGAGGGATATTTGGCTGAGAAATTTAAATGTGTTAACAAAAATGATACATCAAATACCATTAAAAAGAATAATTTTTTAAATAATAAATTTCTAAAGACTGTTTAATCTTTTCCTATCCCTTCAACTTAAATCTAGTCATTTATATACTGACTTTATGAAGTTATCTGAGAATTTGAAAGTGTTTATAACTATTTCATTTGTTTTTAAAAATTGGCATTTAAGAATACTCACCTTGAATATTCCTGGAAATTTTACTTTTCCCCCATACCAATCTCACACTCTTACTCATCAAAAAATCAACACAAAAATGTTAAAGAGCAATTTAAAAATAACAGAGTTGGTAAATGTGAATTCATTAAAGGAAATCTTTAGAAAGGAAATCTTTTAAAGTCCTGTGGCTGCAGTATCTGGATTTTAAAGATCTTCTCCAGAAACTTTTTTTAAATAAAAGTTTTATTTGGAGAAAAATAGAACCACCACGTACACAGAGGAAAAAAGCACAAAAATTCAACTGATACAGAACTGAAAGTCACAATTGTCCAATATTGCTTGCAATTACTTCTCAATTTCCTAAAAGCTCCCGCAACTTGCTTTTTCAAAGGTCTTGCCAATTTTCAGCTGAAAGAGCATCAAGTTAGAGATGGGATCTGTTTTCAAGTTAATGAAGGTGACATTAAGGATCTCCTCCGAACTAATGAGTCTTGCATCAAAGTCTACACATTTCAAAGACTATCAGGGATGAGTCAGAACACTGATATGGATGGTCTGGTATGATAGAAGGGAAAACATAATACCTGCATTTCCTTGTCAGAACAATTCTGACAGGGAGAAGCAAAAAAAAAAAAAATATAGGCAATGGCTGTTCAAAAATAATTTTGAATACCACACATAGCTAAACAACAGTGTACAAGCATATGCAATTAGAAACAGGCAACATTTTAAAATAGTTGGCCACAGGAAGGCTTTGGGAATTCAAGAAAACAATCAATGGCAGACTGTCTCCTCTGCTGAAGGTGGTGGTGGTTGTGTGCTGACTGTTGTTGGAACTGACTTAGTAGACCCTGTAAATCCAAAGGGAGGAGACTGCCTATCCTTCTCCCATAGAGCAGATGGTGCATTTGAACTGTGTGTCTTTGGGTTTGGCAGCACAGTTTCTTACCCACTAGACTACCCAAGTTCCTAACTTTCCATTAGAAACCTAGGCATTTTACTTAATGGGCACAAATGGGTGAGAAAAGATACTGTTGAAAAAGTATTAAAATAGTTCTGATTAAAAACAAAAAACCATACCAAAGAAATGAACATTTTCTGCTTCTCTTTCAAAATAATTTCCTTTCAAAGCTTTAGGGAGGAAAAACCCAACCCCTTCCCACAAAAGCCAACTAACAATTAAAGAACACTGATGGTAGAGAGAAGGCATTTACACAAATTATCAGTGGGAAGAACAATACTTTTGCTATTCTTACATTATGAACAATCTTGGGAAATTCTGAAAAGTAGGCATCCAGTGGCTATGAGAACTCTAAACAATTTTGAATGAAAGATCAGTATGACATAGAAATTTAAATCCCCAACTAGAGTGTGTGTGGAGAAAATGAGGGAAGACATTCAAACTAGGGCTTATTTATTAAAAAAGAGAATTAGGATGCTTCCAAAAAAAACTTTGGTATTGAAATAGGAATGCTAAATCCTGTGGCCTATAGCAATGTATAGTTGGTCCAAGTTATGGCAAAACTGTCTAAACAACATTTAGAGTCTAAAGTAAGCTGAAAAGTAGTGGATAGATTTTTGTTCAGGTAACAGTTTACAAAACATGTTGATTTTGGTCTCTTTTGCAATTTTCATATTGTATTCATTTTTAACATGAAAGAGAGTTGGATTTTCTATGAATTTCTTCTAGTACAGTTGATCAGCAATCTTATAAGTCAGCTATTTTTATAAGTATCTGTTAATCAACACAGTAAACTCAGATCTAAGCCATACACATCCCATACTCATAAATGGAAAATATCAGGATGTGTATGTACAAGATGGTATGTAAGCAACTGTCCCTCTACTTGAAAACTTTTTTCCAAATAAGTTTTGGTGGTTTTTTTTAAAACATCCCTTTCAATGTAACAGAACATTCCCTAGTAAAATATCAATAGCTGTGACAACGTTTTTTTTCTTTTCAAGGGAGATCACAAAACAGGTGAACAACCAAGTCCAGGGTGGTTTTTCTATTTGATAAATACATCCAGAACTCTGTACAGTAAATAAAGTTTGCATGCAGTTTAAGTATCTTTAAATGACATTTTAAGCAAATAAATCTTTTGCTTCATAGTTAATGGTGTATAAGAATCCCCCCTCCCTTTTTTTAAGTCATAGGGACCTCTTCTTCAGTTCCAAAGAGGAATCATGAAGACCAAGTACTTTCTTAAGCAGTTTTTCTGCACATCATACTAAATAACATGCCAAGAGTTCAACAACATTCTTCTTAAAGGTAAGTATTACCCTTTAAATGGGCATGTTAACCACTGAAAAAGTCCACTCAACTATTTCCATTACACGGTTTCATTTGGTCATCGGTAGTATAAAAGAAGTCAAATAATAAAGGATCAACAGGTTAGTTTATGCACTGGCTACTGCATATGACACCAAATGCTCCAAGGCCAACATTTTACGCAATGTAGTTGTACTGATTTGGATTTTCTTTATCTCTTTCCATGTAGTCTCTGTCAATTAATGACTCTATTCTCTTCTTAAGATCAGCAGGCTATAAAAGAAAAGATGACAAACTTTTAGCACAAATCTCATAACTGATTTGCCAACATCTCATTTTAAAAAGGGGGAAAGTTTTAGTTCACTGAATATTTTACAGTTAACTTCAGTTTTCTTAATAAATAAGAAATCACTCTAGGTGTATGCATTAAATTACCTTAGCAGTTTCAAGAGAAAAATGCAATTAATCTATACCAAGTTGAGGAAGCCTTTTATACTATATACAAAACATTTATTCTGCTGTATAATCCTTATCATGTTGTTTTTGCATGTCATCGAGTCAAAACCGACCCACTAAAAAACACCAACCAACCAACCAAAAACCCGACCCACTGCTGACCCTCCAGCAGGTTTTCAGAGGCAATAACTTGCACAGGAGGGGACTGCCCATCCTTCTCCCGTTCAACAACTGGTGGATTTGAACCACGTCTTTGGGACTGCAGCACAGCTTCTTATCCCTAGTCCACCTGAATTCTCTATCCCCATCATGACACTATACTTTCTCTAATGCTATTCTATTTTAAAAGGATGACTTCTTAGCATCAGCTAATCTCTACAAAGTTCAATATAAAAGACTACCTTATAAATTCACAAGGGAAATGATAGTTGGGGAGCTCTGGTGGCTTGGTGGTAAGAAATGATGCTGCAATCCCAAAGGCAAATGGTTCAAATCCACCAACTACTCCACAGAAAAAGGATAAGCAATTTCCTCCCATGTGATATATCACTTCTGAAAATCCACTAGGGGGATCATCTATCAGTCAGCTCTGACTTGATGGAATGTGATAACAATCACCACTTTATAACTTCACAGGGAGAATATAATAGTAGTTGAGAGTATCTCAACTATGTTATTGTGTGCCTTCAACTACATCAATATTTTGACAAGATAGTTCGAGAAGAAAAGTAGATCTTTACTTTGGGCTAAAGTTAGTTCTCAAAGTTAGGTTGTAATATTTTGAGTGAAATAAGAAATGTTATGAGGAACCTACTATTTAAAATACTTTAACAATTGTTCTTAGTGCTGTTTTTTACTTGCAATACCTCATTTAAAGTTCATAGTTAAGTGAATATTATTATTTAACTTCATTTCACAAAAGATAAGGAAGTATATCAAGGTAAAGCAACTAACAAAGTTCAAAGCCAGTAAGAACCCAAAAGGTCTGGAGTCGGTCCATACTTTCTATCAAGAGTCTGTCATACTAAGGTTTGGGAATCTTCTAAATATTATAACACAGGCCAGTGTATCACATTAAGTATTTTTATTACTGGGAAGTACACTGAGACATGTCTACTAAAACCAATTTGTTACCAGAACAGTCACTAATCTTTTTTTCAAAAGGTATCATTTCTAATGGACACACACCCATTTTTAGAGGAACCCTGCTGAAAGAGTGGGTTAAGCTTCAGGCTGCAAAGTGAAAAGTTGGCAGTTCATATCCAGTAGCCATTTCACAGAAGAAAGATATTCCATTCTCTCCTACAGGTCATTAGGAGTCCGAATCAAGAAAACAAGCAGTTAAGTTTCGGATGGGTATTAGGGAGAGCGAGAGAGAGCGAGAGCATGTGTAGGGGAGGGGAGGGGAGGAGAGGAGAGGAGAGAGAGAAGCGGGGGAGAGCGAGAGAGAGAAGGGGGGAGAGAGACAGACACGGACACAGAGCACCAGACAAACAGGAGACTTAACTCAATCTAAAACAACCAACCTGTCAAATGCTAAGGTATTTTAAGGAGAAAAAAAATCGACAAGTCATAAAAATACACAGTAGTCAACGATCCTCCCTAAGGGCAGGATGCCTATTGGAAGATACTGTCTACAATCTGTGGCTACATTTCTGAATAATAATTAAAAAAATTCACAGTGAATGAACTTGAAAAATTTCAAAACTCATTTTCGCATCTACTTTTAGGTATAATATGGTCTTTTATGAGTTGTTCTCCTGTTGTTATGGCCACCTGCAGATGCCAACAAAGTTGAAGTTGTTTTGTATATTTAAATTAGATGCATGAGTATAGAAAATGAAAACTTTTGTCTCTTCAAATGGTCTTTCTTGAGGCTTTATATATGTACTTTGTACATGAAAATCAAGTGTCCTTTATTCACCATAAGCTCAATATGCAAACAAAGTAGTACCGACCTTTACAGGAAATTTCAACTGGTTATACACTTCAGAAACAAGAAGATTGTGACTCAGTGTCTTTCTCATTTTCATAATTCGCACGATCGCCGCATCAATTTGATACTGTCTGTCCTGGAACACTCTTTCTGTAGTGCTTGCTTGCTCTTCAACCTACAAAAGAAGTTTAAAGCTAAGAATTGTTCCTGTAGTTTAAACTTGATTACTTATACAAATTGTGCATATTAAGGACTTATAAGTACTATTACTGCTTTACATATACAGATTTATAAAAATAAGACTTTATAACATACATGACAAAAGACCTTTTCTGGCTATTAGAATTCATCAGTGGCTCCATGGAAAAAAGATGAGCAGTCTCTTCCCATGTGATTTTACAGCCTCTAAAATCTCTCTGGAGGGTCAGCTACAAGTCTAAATGAGTTTGAGTTGATTTAGTTTTTAGTTTTTAGCATACTGATGAAGATGCTAGTGTTCGTTAGTAGAAAACACAACATTTGAACTGCTTTTCAAGAAATAAAAATAAGTGATAAAGAATAACTCAAAAGTGTACCATTAACTAGATGAGCTCATTAGTTACAATTTCCTGAAAGTTACTTTTTAGTTTGAAAATGATTTTGCATATATGAATTAGAAATGCTTATACCTGTCCAAGATAGCTATGAATCAAAGTTTATGAACCTTGATGTTAAAGTAAAAAAGTTAATCTTTATTAATTAAACATTTAGGCTTTTTGAGACCAGTTTCTCTGGCATAACAAAAATGTTATAAAAGAAGTACACAGCAATCTTTTAAGGTAGTATGACGCCTTTGATGTGTAAGTGAAATTTGTTTGAAGATACCAAAACTTTTTCTCAAGTAATGCATTAAACTTTGTTGGAAATGAAGCAATGTTTCCCAAAACACTACAATTATTGTTTTCTTTAATATAATCTATTACAAATTCAAATGGCAAAACCAAATATAGTATTAACCTTCACCACTAAGAAATGCTAACTAAATCATTCAGTTTTCATCAAGGAAGTTGGCAAAGATTTTTACAAAGCTTAAGACAAACTTTAGTACTGGCAACAGCAGGGTAAGGCAGGTATTCACATACTACTGGATGCACAGAACATGTTAACAGTGGTGGCAACATTATGCATCTTTTTTTATATATATTTTGAACTCCAAGTATTATTAGCACTGAAAGAAAGCAAAAGTTTAAATTGGACCAACCTTATATACTCACACAATGGAGTACTACACAAGAAAACAATAAAGAATTCTTAAAACCCTGCATAGCATGAATGAATACAGAGGCCATTATGCTGAGTGAAATAAGTCAGACACGAAAGGACAAATATTTAAAACTATTATTAAAAAGCTACAGAAAGGTTTATGCATAGATAGAATCCTCCTTGGATAGTCACCAGTGATGAGAAGTGAGGGAGACCGGAGTTAAAAAATAGTAAATAGATAACAGACACATATTAGCATGAGTGAAGGAAAAGGCAATATCCAATATGGGGGTGATTAGCATAAAATCACAAAAGACAGACATAGAGAGAAATATAAAGATTAACGAAAATCAGAATTACAGGAAGGAAGTGGGGGAAAGGGAAATTACATTGTGGGTATTTAAATTAACGGTACAGAACAAAATACATATAAATGGTAGAGTGAAAAACTAAATTGCTTTGTAACTTTCATTCAAATTACACTCTAAAAAAGAAAAAAAAATTGGATCAACCTTTCAGGAACACAGTATGACATTAAGTGTTAAGGTTCCCAAGTATTCACACCACTGATCCCAAAAATTTCCTCCCATGAATTTTTCACAAGAGAAGGATCAGAGAGATTAAGTAAGATCTAGGGATATAGTTTTATCTTGCAGTTTTGTTTACAATGCTAAAAAAGTAATACTTTAACTGCCCAACACTGACAGTGGTTGAAAAAATATAGCATAGACACACACACACACACACCCAAAGTCAAGGTCACCGCTGTGATAATTCAAGGCACTGATTCACAGCTGATTCTCCAGTGGGTTTTTAGAGGCTGTAAACTGCATGGGAGGAGAATGCCCATCATTCTCCCACAGAGTAGCTGATGGATTTGAACCACCTGCCTGCTTTTGGATTGGCAGCACAACTCTTAACTCACCAGGCCATCAAAGCTCCATATATATGTACAAATACATACATAAATAAATATTATGCAACCATTTATCATTTTTTTAAATACTTAATGGAGACTTTATAAGATTTAATGGTGAGTAGAAAAGGCAGGATATAAAACAGCTGATTAATTCAATCTAATAACTAATTTCCCAAAAAATGAGAAGATTAATTAAATAAGTCACATATACTGTAGTAATGGTCATACACACATACACACACACACACACACACACACACTCTCTCTCTCTCTCTCTCTCTCTCTCTCTCTGAACATATGATCCAGTGTTACTAGAATTCAGAGAAATGAAAGGAAATACCGTTTCTTTCATTTGGATTTGATTGATCTTTATCCTGAAAAGTTTGTGTTTGAAATCATCATTACAAATGAACTTGTCACCATCTTCGATATCTTTGCCCTTTGGATTTTTTGCCAGAACTCTCGCTTTGCCACAAGCCAGTGACTGCAGCGTTCTCCTTAACTCTCCATCCTCTGAAGAAGAAACAGCAGTTTAATGTTACTTACCATCTCACCAACATAAACAGCTATAGTTAATCCTGATTTAAATTCCATTCCTACCAATTAAAATTTCCTTTTCTTTCCCAACATTATCAATGACTTTATCTTTGCCCTATCCAATTGCTTTTTTCCTATTTGTCTTCTAGAAGATTCAATTATCATTTTTATATAGCTGGCTTTCAAATCTCCAGAAATGACATTTCAGTTATTTCCAATGCCATAGTTAAAGACCAATTCTATCTGGCTACTTTATTATCAACTCCAATATACCCACAATTGTATTTATCACCTTTCTCATAAAACAATTCTATTGTCATTAATTGTTAAGTTGCGATACTATCAACCTACTTTGAGTGAGAAACCCTGAAATATTCAACTCTTTCCTTTCCTTCACCCCTCCCCCACCTAATAGCTCCCTCCTTAAGAGATGGCTCTCCTCTATCATTAATGGTTTCACTTTAGTCTAAATCCTAACACCTTATGCCTGAATTACCCCAATAGTTTCTGGACTGGAACTTCTCTAACCTCTAAACTATCTTGCATATTGATTCCTGGCAAAGTGTGCAAAGAAATCACTTCTATTATGTCAACATTTAATATCCTAGATAGGTTTCACTGGCTAGATGTTCAAGGCTTTCTATAATCAGGTTTTATGCTACCGTCAAACTTTTCATGATGCCTTCCCACACTGCACATATGCCTACATCCATCTCTTTCTTCGACTCTCACTCCTTGCTACATATGCCTTCTTCCTAACCTTTCACGAAGTTTCCCCAATTATGCCAGCTTATACAGTGAGCTCTAACTTCATCAAATTCCTAACATTTCTAGTCAATACCCCAAACTGGCAGTTAACGGTCTTGAAATTATTTCAAATGTTATTTCCTCCTTTCTCATGGATCCATAAGCTCTCTAACAGTACTAAGGAAAGGGATTTTTTTTTAATACCTCCACCCCCACCCCCAGCAGTATACACTTAATGATGCTCGCTAACAGGCTGATTTAATACAAACCTATTCCGGTAGCTTGCTTGATCTCTTCTAAACTGAACTCCTCTCCCTCATTAAACATTAGCAGCACCAGTGTTTGAAAAAGAGAGACCTGGAGTTCCTTTTTACCCTGCAAGAGAAATAGCAGTATTTAGCCATCATCAGTAAAAAAGCAACATAAAAAAGAAATGATTAATCTCTTCTAGGAAAAGCATTTTTTCAATTAGTGGATTTGGAAACACCAATTAACATTATCCAGAAAAGCCACCTGAGGCGGTGATACATTCTGTTCAGGACAGAGTTTAAGTGTGATCCTACCTAAGCATTAGATGACCTTTTTACAGGTCTTTTTTTAATCCTTATAATTAAAGGAGAACAACAAAGTAATGAAAATTAATAATTCAGACTTAAGTGTCATTACAGATATTTATCACGAACAGCAAGAAATCACTATCTTCAACTTCTTTGATGAGGATTAGTCATGAAACACTGCAGGAGATCTCTGAAATTAGATATAGGCACAGCTTCCCTTATCTCCCACTCTATTCTCTCTCTCTCCAGAAACAAGAAAAGTTTCCTGCCAAAATGTGGCAGTTTGAATTCTGTGTCCACAGGTAGGAAAGAGGATTGTTATTTTTGGTTCTGTAGCAGGGTTAAATAAACTGTGGAGAAAACCACATGCTTAAAATATCCTTGAAAGACACAAGAAGCTGTGACAAGCTATCCAAGTATTGTGCAGATATTTAGGATGCATTTATAAAACACGAGTTTAAGCCTTAAAGCTTAAGAGGGGTTATTTCTATCAGAGATGAAAAAAAATTCACTGCCTTGAGTTGGAGCCCCTTCATAGCTGACCCTCCAGCAAGGTTCTGGAGGCTGTAAACAGGGAGATTCCCCAATTTTCTCCTGTGGAGCTGCTGGTAAACTTGAACCACTTACCTTTGAATAGGTAACACAACACCCTACAGACCTCACCAAAGCTCCCCATTTAAGATGAAAATAAAGGTCTTGAAACATCTACCTACCTCTTTAAATTCTGCTTTTAGCACACAGTGTCCAAGAGTGGACTGCCACTGAAGTTTCCGGCCACTGTGTTTGCCTAGGTAAAATGTCTTGAAAATCTCTTGAAGTTTTACCATCTTAAAAAAAGGAAATTAAGAGGCAGGCAACTGTGCAACAATGAATGAATACAGATATATTAAAAATAGTGAACTGGAGGAGGGGGAAAGGAGGGAGAGGTAAAATGTGCAACAATGAATGAGAGAAAATCTAACTTCTGTCAGTTTTCGTTGAAATCACAATTAAAATAAAAAAAAATATTTTAAAAAAAAGAAATTAAGTTGTATATAAACTCTGTATTCCAATGTGATTTTTGAAATTAATTCATGTCCATTAACTTCCAGCAAAATTTAAGACCATATTCTGTCTAGTCCATGCATCACTTCAATGTCATGATGTCCTGACCATCAAATATAACGGCATTTATCAGTTCTGAAGACTTTTTTATCTCCTTGCAACAGTTAATCATGTGCTTTTGAAATATTCACCTCCTGGTGGCTTTTGCATCTCTGTATTATGCTGGCTCCCCCGTATCTCATTACTGTCCTTTGTACTCCGTATTCTCTTTTGATTAGCTCATTTTCTAGCTGAGAGTCCATAATCATCCAGAGAAGACTTTAGTACTTATCTCTCTCGTCTTATTTTTCTAGGCTTCAGTTCTGAGTCACACTGAACTCGAGTCAGTCTAACGCTACCCTGAGTAATTTGTAAACCTCACCCCTGAAATGATTCATGGACAAGAATTTTTGAGAATCAGGGAAAATGAACCTGAATCAAGAAACTTGGTGTCATTAGCACTATGATCTAGACATAGAAACAGCAAATATAAGAGTAAAATATTAAAACCGTGAACATCTAATATTGGGGGTGTTTACTGACATATACTTTTAAAAGGTATCTACTATTTTTAAACAACAGGTAAAATAAAATGTCATTTACTTCCACCATTGCTAGTGTCATATGCATCTACTGGCTTTGTGTAACAGTAAAATGCAGTCATATATATAACTCAAGTTCTAACCAGTAAGTCTTACCTCTGGTGGCAAATGGACTTCCATAGGCACATATGTTGGCCAATAACCCATTGTCAGGATATTCACAGTTAACTCAATATTTCCAGGTACATTCTGATTCTGCATATACTATAAGAAAACCAACACACATACTGAAATTAAAAAGTACAAGCTGTTTATGTGGTAACAAGATGGATAATAGAAGTTCCCCATTATAAAAATCACATGCAAGTACTGACTAGCCTTAAACCAAAAGGTTAACCATTAAGAAGACTATACATGAAGCCTATATTAAATGCACTAGGTGTTATCCACTGAAATAATTTTTTTACATTCAGCTGGGCTATTACAGGATCTGTTCTCCAGTATTTTTCCCATACCACCTATAGTCCCCACCATTGGAGACCCTTATGTGGCTTGGAACACCTTGTAGCAACCCCCATTCCTCACCCCACCAGCCAGCCCAAGTCTCCGGTTTTTCACTTGTTCCACTGCCTGTTTGCAGGGGATAACCTGAAGTGGGGAAAGAAGAAGAGGGGGAAAGGGCAAAGCAAATAAATCCTATTCTGTAGCTACTGTAGAACCCGTGTATGATCCTACTAACGCTGACCTCGCTTTTCTATCTTCCAGTCTCATTTATCACCTCAGTAAAAGTCACTAGAACATCAATAGAAAAAAAAATCTAATTTGCTCCTACTATAACCTGTTATTAAATATTTTAAAACCACTTTCTACCTTCATTTTCAAAGCTGTGGGCTTAACTTTTCATTCTCAATGTCCCCAAAAGGCCTTATACACTTAACCATGTCTATTCCCTCCTCACTGCCACCTTTGAACATACCAATTTCCAAAAGTGATCAGTTATTTTGGAAAGCTGTTCCCACTACCTAGCTATAGCTTTACTAGTACTGACTTTAGTTCAATATATTTGGGTTTTCTTTTTAATGTTCTTTTTGGTGTTCATTAAGAATTATCCTGGAGTCAAATATACTTACATTTTCTTCTACCGTGAATATCATCTAAATTGCTATGAAGTATTTACAGCCAATACATGTTTCTATTTATCCTCTTCAGTACAAACCGCAGCAGGACATTAACTATCTATTTTTAAGGTCAAAGAATTAAGTAAGAGTTTAACTCACTTTTACCTGTTTGAACTGAATCATGATGTCTTTAGAAAGCTCCATGTCTTTAAACATTCCTTCAAGTTTGCTGGTGAAAGCAGCTCCACATTCTAGTAAAGATATTTTATACATTAATCATATTTTAGGTTGGTAATAGAAAAAGATTTGAAACATCAAAAGTTAAGCTTATGTACAACCTATGATCTGTAACTATCCATAAGATTAAAAATAAGTCTTCACCCCCATGTGGATGCCCCATTAATTCAGAATCAAATCAGAAACCTCATAAGCTTAAACACACAACAGTTCTAGATATGGACAATAAATCAGAAACCTCATGAGTTTGTTTTTATTACAGGATGACTGACAAAAGAGGCAATCAGTTCACAGATAAACTAAGATAACACTTTCCCTAAAAAGTCTAAGAAAAGTAATAGAAAGAATGGGTAACATACCATGTTTAAGTTTGGACAGCATCGATTTTTCAGCATCTACAGATGCACTTTTTCCAACTAGCAGGCGTTTGGCTAAATCTTTCTTATAAAAGGCTTCAAACACATCCTTGCCTATATTAAAAAAACCACAATTCTCAAAATATTCTATGAAAAAGTTCTGACAAAATCGCTCTAAAATGCTTAATAAACCATGCCATTATTTCATGTTATTCTATTTACACAGTTGATCCAAGTTTGCTAAATGCAAGAAACACTGGAATTGAATTTGTAGACCAGACACCATGTTCTTCACTATAACGAATTAAGCCTTCATTAGCTTTTCTTTTGAAAAGCGTTAATTCACTGGTAGCTTTAGTGTCAATACCCTAGAGATTAAATCAAGTAGCAAAAATCAAGCCTCTTTATAGGAGAAAAGTCAAAGCACAAGGCAATTAAGAAACAATTCTCTCAATTATCCCCAATGACTTAAATACAGGGAATAAAATATAATTTTAAGTCTCTAACCCCCCAAACAGTTATTACTCCCTTCAGATTGAACATATATGCTGCTTTCTTTGTTGAGTGCTTTCTTTTAAAAGAAATAGATTTAAACAGTTGACACTTACCATAGATAAATCTAAATATAATCATAATTTTATCCAACATTTTTTCAAGTTCTTCATCTGTAGCTTCTTTGTTGCCTGCACGAAGCTTTGAATCTACATACTTAGCTAAAATGGAAGGGGAAGAAGGGGGTGGAAATGTGTTGTTTAATAAGTACAGGTATCCATGACACATATCCAAACAAGAGCATAATATATTCAGTTTTTCAATGCCTAAGAGATAGTTCTTTTTATTTTTAAGTTTCAGATTCAGAGATCAAGTAGTTTATTCAATGTCATAGAACTAATAAATGTCAGAGCCTGGATAAGAAACCAAGTCTTCTGACTGTAGATCTAATATACTTTGCACTAGTTACTGATGCACCCTATAGTTGAGTATGAACATCCTCAGGGAGTGGGAAAGGGGATACAGGATCTGTGAAGTATACAGAAGCAATGGAAAACATGAAAGAGATATCTTCCTGCCATGTCCATTTTATACTGAAGTTAAGAAACTTTAAACATTACTTTTCCATAAAAATAACCCAAATACGTTAGTGCAAGAGGCAAAAATTAAAGAATTTTAAGGAGCTTTGGTTGCCTAGTGTCAAGAAGTTGTGCTGCAATCCCAAAGGCACACAGTTTGAATCCACCAGATGCTCCCTGGAGAAGGAGGGGCAATCTCCTCCTGCGCCAGTCGAATGTGATTCGACAGTACACAACAACAACAACAACAATTCAAAAGAATTTTAAGGTTCAATACAAGACTTCAAAGAAATTCCACCTTTGTGGGAGAGGACCCCAGACCTTCTTAGCATACCTCCTTCGACATTACGGGATCCCTGGAAGGAATATCTGAGCTTTGCAATAGTGTACCACCCACATCCTTATACTGAATAAGTGCTTTAGATTTCTTTTTTCCTGGACTTTTCTCTTCCTAATTAACAAGTGTAATTTCTTGCTGTCCATTCTTATAGCCCTAAGTACTTACTTCTAAAAACAACACCTTGTCTCCCCTCTAAAATGTTATAGGCTTAGAAAACAATCTTGTACTATCTTATAAAAAACCCCAAACAACAAAACAAACGTGTTTCCCAGGTAGGCTTTGAGACGTTCTTTAATTTAATGGTCTTAAAAAACCTCCAGAGTTTTAGAAACATTTTTCAGACTACACATTATCAAGTCTAATGGCCTCAGTTGTAGAGAGTTGAGCTGCTCACCCAAAGGCTACATCTCTCTGGTCATTATGAAATCCACCAGTGATTCCACTAGAGAAGATGGGCAACCTCTTCCCATATGATTTACAGACTTGGAAACCCAGGAGAGGGTCAGCTATAAGTTGGTTTTGAGTCGGTGGCATAAATGACTTAGTAAGATATTATCAGCTAAGTAATAATCCTAAATAAATGAGGCATTGTTGTTATGTACCTTCAAGTCAGAAATTACTCAGAGCTGACCCTACAGTGGGTTTTCAGAGGCAGTAAATTACACGGGAGGAGAATGCCTATCCTTTCCCCGCAACAAAGCTGGTGGCACTTGTATGCTACAATCTTGTCAAAATTTCACATTAACTGAGATTAAGGGAGCAACACAAAAACATTCAAAGGGAGCTCTGGTGGCCTAGTGGCAAGAAGCTGCACTACAATCCCAGAGGCGCACGGTTTGAATGCACCAGATGCTCTGCTGGAGAAGGAGGGACAATCTCCTCCTGTGCCAGTCAGATCTGATTTGATGGTACACACATACAAAATTTTTTAAAAAGAAAAACATTCAAGAGATTAAACATTGACTAGAATACCTATAAGTTCAGCAGGTTTGTTTGGTCTTTTGTTAATGAATGTTTCAAATGCTTCTTTCATGGCATTGATAAATTTTTCATTCTTCAGAAAGCAGATATCAATTATATGATCAACTTTATCTTTAAAATCCAGCAATTCTTGAACCATGGTTTTATCTTTTTCAGGATTGATTACAATCGTGCTGCCAAATGCCTGAAAAACATAAGTTAAACAATCACTTCATACTGAACTTACCGACCATGAGGACCATTCCAAATTTTTATTTTTGAAGTTGGTACATAAACTTAAGGATCTTAAAAATAAGGAATAACCACTGGGTACACAGTAACAATGCAGAATTATAATTTTTTTCTTTTTTTTGTGGTCATACAGCACACACATAGACTAAAAAAGCACACTAACCAAACACCAACCTGCAAATTTCATCGACACTGATTAGACTCAAGTTATACAATCATTCTAACCCTCCTTTTCTGAACTGGCATCTCTCAATAACATAAGTTTATTGCCTTCTAAGTTTCCTATCTAATCCTTTAAATGGCTGTTTTCAATTTGTCTTTGACAGAACACAGTGCTCAAAGGGACACTCTTTTCTAATGCAATTAGACTAATGTTTGGTTAAGGAAACTACAGGGGATTTTTTGGTTTAAAGATTATCTCAAGATAATTTCAGGAGTTCATCTACTATCAAAGGTTCAAAAAGTCTTGAGTGAATGAGACTTTTGAATTTTATTCTTAATTTTCACCCTCTGATCAAGACTCTTCCACAGTATTTTTGATCAAAATGTTTAGTACATCACGCCCTTATTCAGAGGCTCTGCATCCAAGAATTCAATCAATTGCAGATAAAAAATATTCAAGGGATGGGAAGACTCTGAAAAAAGCTATTAAGTAGTCAAAGTGAGCCCTTCAAGACTAAGTGAGTGCATAAAGTGTTATTTACACAGCATTTACATTGCATAAAGCATGACAGACTATCTGAGGAGGTTATCTGAAAATACCAAGGCATTCTATTTAAGGGATGTGGTGCATCATGGATTCTGGTACTGGGTGAAGGTATGGAAATAATCTCCCTCCGATACCAAGGAATGACTGCAATGGTAGTCAGTTACTACCAATTTTGTTTGGTTCTCCTATCCCTGACTCTCCTTCCTCTGTTGCTGAAGGTGAATCAGAACCAATTATAACTGGATGGCTGCTTGCAAGCTTTTAAGATCTCAGGCACTACATAATGGACTGAGAGACAGAACAGAAATACCAGCAAATAAGAAGTAAAACAGAAACACAATGAACTAAGAAGCAGAACAGGCTAAAACCATGCCATTAAATCTCTAAACCAAGTAACCTAGAGCTACACATTTTCTTGGCTTAGTTATGACCAACTCAGTAAAAAAATAGAATGGAACTGAATTTGTGAAATATATGCAAACCAGGATAATAACCAGTACAGGAAAACATACAGGTTGACCTATTGATAGAAGTGTAATCTCTTACAAGACAAAAGCACAGGTAATCAAATCTCTTGACTGACCAAGTTGAAAATACTTGTGCCTGGCACAAATAGGGTAGTCTGTCATGCAGATTTCAATGTGTATTGCTCTCCAAAGGTGAGGGCAATAATCTAAACCGCTGCATCAAGTTACTGCCCCTCTCAAGTCTCCTACTCCAGGACTGTGCCTTTTAATTTTTCTTGCTCCAACTTTCATGCCACTGAATCCGAATCTTAAAAATGTCTGTTCTGATACACAGATGAATGGACTCGTAGAAATTAATACATCAGATCGTTAACTGGTATCTAACAAGGAAACAAAATCTACCAGAAAACCTATCAAAAATGACATCTCTTCAACAAATAGTGCTGGCAAAACTGAACCTAAGGAAAGCTGAAGCAGGATCTACATTTCACACCATACACAAAAATCAACTCAAGGTGGATCAGAGACCTGGAAGTAAAGCCCAAAACCATAAAGATCATTAAGAGACAAAATGGGACCATATTCAGAAGCTCTAACCTCTGGTATAAATAGGCTGTCAATACTGCCAGATATACACAGGCAGGAGAGAATAATATCAATTAATGAGACCTTCTAAAGATTAAGTCCCTGTGTGCATCAAAAACTTTTCCCAAAAGGGTAAAAAGAAAACCTACTGATGTGAAAATATATTTGACAATGCCATCTCAAACAATGGTCTCATAACAAAAGTTGAGAGAACACAACAGGGCATCCACAAGAAAAAGACTGATAACCCAATCACAAATAGGGCAGAAGACATGGAAAGAATTTTAACAGAAGAAGATATTCAGGTGGCCAACAGACATATGAAGAAACGTTCAAAATCACTGGCAATCAGAGATGCAAACTAAAATCATAATGAGATACCATCTCACCCCAGTCACAACGGCAAAGTTTAACAGGACAGCAAGTGAACTCTAATACACTGTTGGTGGAATTGTCAAATGATACCACTCTGGAAGGCAGTTCAGCATTTCCTCAAAAAGCTGAACAACAACAACAACAACAAAGTTGAACAAAGAAATCCCATATAACTCAGCTATTCCACTACTAGGATAATACTCCACAGAAAATAGAACTGACAAAAATGGAGATGTGTACACCGATGTTCACAGCAGCATTATTCACAAGAGCAAGAAAATGCAAACAGCCAAAATGTTCATCAACAAACGAATGGACTGAGAAATTGTGGTACAATCACATGATGAAATACAGTGTGGCACTCAGAAGCAATGATTTCGAAAAATACTATAGAACGTGGGAAAATTTGGAGAGCATGATGTTGAGTGAACGAACTCAATCTCATAAGGACTCATAAATACTATTTAAGACCTTTATTGTAAATGTAGAAGGATAACTAGTAAAATACGTCCAAAAGTTCAAAGGAAGGGGAAGGGGGAGGGGTCCTGAGGGTGGGGTGAGGGGTGAGTGAAATCACAAGATCACAGAGTCTGTTGCGGAGAGAGAGGGGTGAAAGAATAAGAAAAGATCCAGTGAGGAACTAAAAAGACAGGGTAATGATTGGCATAGTTCGATAGTGATTCATTTCATAAAACACAATGTATAGGAATGATCATAGAAAACACAATGTGAAGGGAAGAATGTGTACAAAAAATGGGAACATTTTAAAATGAAGAAAAAAATGGTTGTTCTAATTTTACTTGGCATGACTAAATTGATTTGAATTCCTGAAGGAACCAAATCCCAAATTCCATGAGTATTAGGGTAATATATAATTAATCTGAGGAGCTGCTCTTTACACACACACACACACACACACACACACACACACACACACACTCACTCTCTCTCTCGGTTGTTTTATATGCGTCCATGTATATACATATATATTTACACATCAATAATTTGACCTTTACATGTATACAACTTATTGACATCAATTATACTAATCAGCTGTGCAACCCTGACACTAATTCAATGGCAATGTGACATTAGTATAAGATATAATAGAGAAAATAAAAGTTTGAGGTGCCCCACAATTCCTCTTTTTCCATATGCACTGCTTTAAATGCTAAGAGTTAAAAATGTCAGACACCAAGAAGGCAACTCTTTTATTGCTCATTTGCCACACAGCTATCATTCCTAGGTTGTTGGTTCTCAAATCCTATTACTTTTAAAAAAATTAGGTCAAACAATAAAAAATTCTTAATGATATGCAAGAATTGTTAAGTTCAGATACTATGAAAGATTCCATGAAAGGAAGAAAAAATATCCACTGGTAAATTGTGAATAAATACCTTGATATATTCAATCCACTGCTGCAAAAGTACCTGAACTCCACCTCTAACTCTACTGAAGAGCTGATACAGGAGAGATAAATCTTGAATTCGGTTTTCATCAAGAAGGTTATTCAAACCTGAATTTTGAAACATTTGCCATTAAAAATAGTAAATAAAAAGGTTAGATTATTTTAATAAACTTTAAGTTATATCATTATGGCAGTATCGGTCTGAACTATGACCACTCTATATGTGAATAATAATTTAGACCTTTGCTTTAAAATAAGCACAAATAATCAATCACTTTTATGTGTAAAAATGAAATATAGTTAATTTAGTCACTAGAAAAAAAGTAACAGGTGACTATGGATTGGTTTATACCACTTAGCATGATAGACCAGATGTTCTCCATTTATAAAAACTGGCTTACATGCAACAGTGGGGGAAAAAATAAAATAAAACATTTTTGGTGTTAAAAACTATCTTACATAAACATCTATCATCTGCAATATATGTAAATCATATATACAGTAGTAGTATTACATCTGATATTAGTATATAAAACTGTATTTCAGAATATTGGGTATGGTCTGTTTTATTTCAAGTCATACATAAACAGATTAAGTTAAAATGAAGTTCTAACAAATTTGATGTTCAGAATAATAATCTCAATCTCATTGAAGCTCATTCAAACACCCATTTCACACAAAAGATTAAGTGTCAAGGTCAAACTTAATGTATATTCTAAAAACCACCTGGGATTAGTAAATGCTTAGTTCTACATGCCACAAATATAAACACTAGTGGAAAAAAGAAATGCCTTTCCTTACTGTGTAGTCCTAAAAATACTGACTTGAGAATTCACAATCTCATTTTTATTTATTATTATTTTACAGGTACTGGTGGTAGATCTATCTCACTTTAATTTCTGTATCTTTCAGTTAAAGAAATAGGCACCTGTATGAAAGTTTACTGTGATGAAAAGGGAGAAAGAGTGTAAGTCATCCTCAAAAATGCAGTTAAATGTTATAACTTTTAAAAAGGTAATCTTTTAACAAAGTTCCTACTGATACCATTTTTTAAACAGTCTTTTACAAATTGTCAATTACCTTTCTGAAGAATTGCTGTTAAGTGTTCACCTAGAAGTTGTTTCTCTACTGTTGCAATTAATGACTTCCTATATGGAAAATAAAAAAGAATTACTGACATATGACACATTCCTACAAAATCAAAGACTTCCCTAAAAAGAGATAAACAGTTCGTTTTACATTCCTTTCAATATTCCTATTCTATGTAAAAATGAGGAGCTCTGTTGGTCTAGGAGCTAAGCTGCCAACCCAAAGGCACATTTCAAATCCACCAGCTGCCCTGTGGAAGAAAGATGGGAAATCTCCTCCTGTGTAATTTTGCTACCTCTGAAAACCTGCTGGAGGACCAGCTATGAGTCAGCTCCGACTCAACAGCACATAACAACATGTACAAATGTACTGATTTCTATGTTTTTAAAAAACCCTCAAACTCATTGCCATTGAGTCAGAACTGACTCATAGCTGACCCCCCAGTGAGTTTCCAGAGGCTGTAAAATGCATGGGAGAAAACTGTGCATCTATCTTCTGCAGAGAAGCTGGTGAACTGGAATGGCCAGGTGCCATTTTGGCATCAATAGTACAACAGCCTATGTACTAGGGAAACTGTGTTCCCTACTTTATGCTTAGAAGGAAAGAAAACATTAAATATCTCATAATTTTGCTTACATCATGAAATAAATAATTCTGTGACCTTCCTGTAATTGGCTTCTACTTCCATTGGTCATATTTAGGAAAGTACAGAAACAGGGTATATTCTATGAACAGTAACTGAACTTTAGCTGGTTTTAAGCTCTAAAAGATTACCAAATCAAAACTCTCTGCCCTAAGTCAATTCCAACTAGAAGATTCAAACTGGCTACGTCTCAACACGTTACAAACCATACCACCAAGGCACCAATTTCAAAGATCACATCAGCTTCTATCCAATTTTTAGTTATAGCCCCCTCCCCACACACTCTTACTCTCTCTCAAATATCTGATTAAATCTAATGAAGTAATAATGACAATAGCAACTTAAAAACTGATTACAAATACAACTGTAAAGCTCACAGACTTGCAAATAGTAATTAACAGGTTTTGGGATTCCTCAGATGGAGTTCTGGTAGGAGTGGTAAGGAGTTCCACTGTCAACTCAACAACATGCAGTTCAAATCCACCAGGTGGCTCCACCAGAGAAAGATGAGCCATTTCCTCCCCTGAGATTTACTGCCTCTGAAAACCTACTAGAGGGTCAGCTATGACTCGGTTTCTACTTAACAGGACATAATAGCAACAAAGTGTTTTAAGGAGACCTGGTGTTACCAGATGGACTGCAGTTTGAGAATACTAGCTGATATGGGAAAAGATAGGGAGTTTCCTCCTGTAAAGATGTACAGTCCAAGGGGAGCTCTGGTGGCCTAGTGGCAAGGAGCTACAACTACAATCCCAGAGGCGCACGCTTCGAATCCACCAGATGCTCTGCCGGGGAAGGAGGGACAATCTCCTCCTGTACCAGTCAGATCTGATTTGACGGTACACGCACACAAAAATTAAAAAAAAAAAATAAATAAAAATAAAAGATGTACAATCCAATGGAGGGGTCAGAATCAACTTGATGGCAGTGAGTTTGGTTTGGTTTTGGTAAAATGCCTGAAGGATCCATAGTGGGACAGTGTTTACGCACTAAACTTTTTTTTTTTTTTACGCACTAAACTTTTTTTTTTTTTTACGCACTAAACTTCTAACCAAAATGGGGGTGGTTTGAACCTAACAATTATTCAGCGAGATAAAGACACAATATTTGGCTTATGTAAAAATGTATAGCCATGGAAAGCCTACGGAACAGTCCTACTCTGTGCTCTGGGGTCCCTCAAAGTCTGAATATGACTCAATGGCAATGGTCAATTAAAGAGGTTAAGACTATTAGGCTAAGCTTGTAATACTTACTGAGTGGTCTGATCTAAGTAAGTAATAAGTCTGTCAGCCTCTTCTTCTAGACGCTTGTTAACATGGTGAAGATACTCCGGAACCTACAAAGACAGTTTTGTTAGTTTTTTTAATATTACAGCTTTCTTTGCTATAAATAAATCAGAAAATTTCAAATCCAAAAGCTCATGGGAGCAGCCCTGCCAAATGTGACAGGATTGAGTAATTTGTAAAATTATAGGTACAGTTTATGGTCTAGAATGCTAGCCTTTAAGAAGAGAGGAAAAGAGACACCTGAGTGAAAGAAAAGCAATACAATGTTGGGAAGAGGGCTGCTTATATTCTATAACATAAAGATGACTGAGAGAGACAGTGCATTATTAATCATTATTGTGAAATACCTCTCTCTCTTGCATTAATTTTTGGCCTTCAGCTGCATAAAGTCGGTTAGTTTCCTCCAGAAAACGTTGTTCAAAAGAATCTTGATAAATCTGGAAGGTGAGAAGAGAAAGAAAACAATTGATTTAAGAAATAATTATTAAATGTCTGCTATGTGAAGAGTATGATAAATTTGATTTTTCTACATCAAACTAGCGAAGGTAAATTACTAGTGAAGTAAACGTACTTGCAAATCAGAGAGCATGCTTAAAAGACTTCGGAGTAAACTTCTATCAATTGCTTCACCATTCCGTTCTCTCTCAATCAAGAGAAGAATGCCATCAATTGTCTTATTCTGGACTTTCTGATCACTTATAATGTGAGCTCTAAATAACTCCAGTCCCATGTCCCTAAAATAAAGAAAAACATATATATATAAAAATCTAAATTAATTGACAATATCACTTCTAAGATATGAATTACGACCTATTAATGTGAGCTCTAGGCTTTGAAGTAGCAATATTAGGATGAGTCACATATATGTTTTTCAGTTGTGGTGAAAATAATACACATTGAATTATTCTTTAATACAGTATAACTACCACATTTTACACAGTTAATTCTAACTAGTATTAGATTAGGGAACTCTGGTGGCCTAGTGGCCAGAAGCTGCGCTGTAACCCCTAGAGCATGCTGTTCGAGGGCACCAGCTGCTCTACAGGAGAAGGATGGGCAACCTCTTCCTGAGCAATTAACTGTCTCTAAAAACACATCAGAGGGTCAGCTATTTTAGATTAAAGCACATATGAAATTCATGTCTTTAATGGGAACTCGGGCCAAATTCCTGCTTTCCTCTAAGACCAAATTTTTTTGGAGTATTCTCTTTGATTAATTTGTTCCTTGCTCAAATCAAAAGACAAAATTAGTCTAAAGTCTAAACCTCAGCAGTTAAGGCATAAAATGTTTTTGCCCTCATACTAGTGATGAAGGGAGCTCTGGTAGCTTAGTGGTTATATTGCTAATCCAAAGGAACTCAGTTCAAGTCCACCAGATGCTCCATGGGAGAATAATAGGTCATCTCCTCCCCTGCAATATACTGTTTCAGAGACCTGCTGGAGGGTCAGCTTTGAGACAGTTCTGACTCCATGGTACAAGACAACGACAGTAATGACATGACTACATAGTGACTTTAACAATGGGCTTGAGCATATAAGAGATCATGAGGATGGCACAGGATAGGGCAGGGTTCAGATCTGTTGTTCATAAGGTCACTATGAGTTGCAGTCAACAGGATGGCCCTCAACAATAGCAACAGTGATGAAGACTTAAGTGGTCAGTAGCGTATGGCAGAAGATAGAATTCAACGTATTATTTCTATTTTCACCTATATGTGAACATTTCCATAATCTTATTAAGAAAAAGCAAGTAGAATCTGGATAATCAGTAGCAAAATGAGTCACATGCATAGATATGCTACAAAACACTTTTTAATACCTTCTTTAAAACTTTTTTTCTCAAATAAATGTTCAGGAAATGTTAGTCATTTTCAAAATTAGGATAAACAAAGTCAAAGAAAGTAAAATAGTTTATGAAACAAAATGTGTACAATTTATTGAACAGAAAGCTCATTTGTTCTATAATCTTTCACAATAAAAATTAGAACAGAAGGTTTTTATTAATAAATAATATCTAGAAGCTGAATGTGCAATTTTAGGGAAATACTTCTCTTCCAATGGAATGATGCGGATTAGACTATAACCTGTAACAAATCTTTGCATAATTTTTTCTTCTGACATCCTTACCAAATGGAAGGTAGCATGGAATTCTGAAGAACGTAAGTTCTATCCAGGAACAAAAAAATGCTCCTAATCATGATCTGTCAGTGGGGAAAAAGAGAAGACATCATCAAACAATGTTTATATTCTGTAAAGGCTCAAATATATGCTCTTGATAACATAGGAATTAAATGGAAGTGTTCATTTGTATATATGCTAGATGACAGTTAAAAGTCCAGAATAAAGGGGGAAATCAACAAGATGGACTGACACAGTGATTGTACACTAGCATATTTGTGAGGATGGCGAAGGATAGGCCAAGGTTCACAGGGTGTTTATGAACTGGTGTTGACTCAATGGTACATCCAACAACAATGAAAGTGTTCAGTTGCAAGCAAGGATGAGCTTCTGTAAAGATCTATAGGCCTATTAGAAGTCCTATGGGGCAATTTTGCTCTGCCTACACTGTCCTACCTATAAGGCTGCTAATGAGTCGGAATTGACTCAACAGCATTAGTACTGATCAAACGTGCACATAAACATACCTGAGAATACATTCATGTCATTTTTTTCTATTAAACTATTCTACTGTCTTAATACTGTAGTTTCTAGAAAATACGAAGTTAAAATGGTCCTATGACTTTTTTGCTGCTTAAAAGTAAGTGAAATAAAAACAGGGAATGAAAGGAACACTCATGTAATTCTCTGGCAACAGTACTAGGGATGGAAGCTGTCTTAAATGGTACATGTGGGGGTTTTGGACGAGTGACTAAGATTTTATTTTGCAGAATACAAAGGATAAACTAACATCAGACTAAGGAATACAGAAATGGCCGTGATCTGAATAAGCTAAAATATAACACCCTGAGATGACTTCACACGTAATCAAATAGTTAACAATCTTATAAATAGAATATCCATCAAGACTGAAACAAAATATAAAATTTTTAGACAAGATTGGCTTTTTTATTAGATATGCATGACAAAATAAAACTCATCCTAAGGTACAAGTCATTCTGAAATGATGGCTTACCTACAACTTGGCATTTTAAAAGATCAAGCTCAACCCAAATTGATTTCTAACTCAGAACAAGAACAAACATGAAGGCAGTCCTCACTTGAAAAAACTTTTAAAACTAGCCATCCTGAATTTGAAGAAATTTTATTTTTTAAATTGAGTATTTAGTTGAACTGTTAATGCTTTTTCAAACTTACCATTTGTCTGCAATGATTTTGCCAGCATTTATCGATCTTCTTTAGAAAAAGAACACTATCCAATGAATCCCTAAGATATGTTAAGGATATTTATATGTATTGAATACAAAATAAAATATCCAATGCAAAAGCAAATTTATCTCTTAAATGTAAAATGTGTTACGGACTGCCATCCAGTCAGCCCCTGCCTCAGGGTGACTCCAGGCACAGTGGAATGAAACCCTCAGGTCCTGTGCCAGGACACCCTCAGGATTAGTCATGGATCAAACTTCAAGTACCGACACAGGATTTTCACTGTGGCTACTAAAATTAAACAGTACTTACTTAAAGAACAAAATACTCGGGTTTTTGTGGGTGGTCCCCCCTCCCCAAACTGTAAAATAGACTATGATTCCACTTTTAAAACAACTCTAAAAAGACCATGATGTTCTCAGTTTATGATCTCACTTAGAATATTTCCATTTGAAGAAAAATAGAAGGCTATCTTACTTACAATAAAATCACATGCGGATTTAGACCCTAATTAAAACCAATAAGTAAAAACTGCTGCTTCTCTCTCTTAGGATAACAAGAACAATAGGCATGTCACTTCAAGCTGGGTTTAGTGATGAGGCAGGAAGACAGAGGAGAATAATACAAGAATTTTTTATTTGTTTTCAAAGGATATTCTCTGAACTGATGAATCTGTGACTTGATGTGCTCTTCACAAATCTGTCTCAGCTGCTTGTACAAATTTGCAGAAATCTTGTAAGAACAAAGATTTTCTACAGCCTGCAAGAATAAACACGTATCATAAGAGAAAATGAGAATAAAAGATTTCTCAATTATTTATATCAAGTTCATATTGTCTTGGTATTTCTACCATATCCGCTTACTAAAAAAAAAATTTCAACATACCAGGTCAAGTAACAAAAGACATTGGTGTGGAGGGTGAACTTTCTCATAATCAATGTACTATGTTAAAAAGGAACAAATAATTTATTCATTGTGATTGTGTAGGATAAGAATGAAGGGTCATGCCGAGTTTTCTCTCTGCAAAGAAATCAAATTTACAGCAACAGCTATACAGAAAAGATTTTGTTCTTTAAATTGTTAACCATTTTCATGAGTAGAACTCCATTCTGAGTTTAAAAATTAATTATACCAATTGTTTATGAGACGGGTCAAGTGGCTATATTTTTACTTTCTTTGGTTTTCCTAACAGAACAAAACATAAAAATTGCTAACAGTATCATGATGAGTATGGTGGTCTAGTGGGTAAAGAGCTGCACTGTCAACCTAAAGGCGCAAAGTTCTAATCCATCTGTGAGATTAGCAATGAGTTGACTCTGGGCTGATGCCAATGAGAGAGAGATGATATAATTAAATGCTATGGAATGTTCTGTAGTATTTCACTGTAAGAATAGTCAAACAGAGGTTTTATAATTTTATACAATTCAATAAACATTAATTTTAAATGAAATTAATGTAGTTTTACTTCATTCTGATAGTTGGTCTTGTTCAGACTCAGATCCCAAAGGGCAAAGCTTCAGATTTCAGTTAATTTCTTGCTATACGTACTTTCAAAACTTTAAATTTAAAACAACAGGCATGGTAAAATCCTTGGATACATTCTGATTGATATAATCGAAAATTGCAGTAAATGATGACTTAAGTACAACACTAGAGCATTCTAATGGAGTAGTCCATTAACAAGCTGCACTGCTAACCCAAAGGTTAGTCTCCTCCTATATGTAGTACAGCCTCAGAAACGAAATGGAGGGTCAGCTATGAGTTGATTCTGATTCCTCTTTTTACCATCACAGAAGAAAACAGTAATTCCATTCACAAACTCTAGGTTCTGTTGGAGTGGGATTTTAGAAATATGAAGTGGCCTCAGTAAGAGCTTGTGGACTGTATGCCCTATCACTCTGTCAGAGGAAATGACACCAAAATGACCACAGAGTGGCCTCTCTAGGGTTGGTGTCACTTGTCACCAAGTGGAGTAAGTTATCACCACACATACACCCTTATCCATCAGTCAGGATGAAAGTAAGTATACTGTGGACCTCACAGCTGATGGAAAGGACGGTCTCCAACTTGGCCAATGGAAGAGAGGTGCTGTGGGGGCAAGGTTACATGGAGGGAGCAGGTCTATGTGCAAAGGCAGTACAAGCCGCTCAGCCCAGTAGGCAGGTTTTGTTGAGACCATGAATTACCACAATAGGTGACACCAACCCTGGTGATGGTTTGGAAGTCACATCCCCAAAAGCAGGTCCAGTAAATAAATGAGCAAATGAAAAAAACACAAGCTTATATAGAAGGCTTATGTTATCAGAAGGAAGTCACTATGCCTCACCAGAAAACAGCAGGCCAAAAAGACTCAACAGCTGTTCCCAAGTCTCTTCTGGACATGTTTCATGGGGGTCTTTGGGCATTACCACAAATACCTGAAGATATACTTAAGCTCACTTCATACGTCTCTCTAGTTAAGATGGTCCAACATAGATTGTCCCTCTTCCTTGTGGGTGCTCTGCTTTCATAGACTATTAAAAGGAACTCTCTGGAGTGTAAGCACCTTGAGGGCAAGGAATGTGTGACTTCTGCATCCTTAACATATCTGCCTCACTTTGCACTAAGTTAGGCACTCATGACTCAACAAGGACTGACTGCTTACCTCTACATCCTGTAAGTGGTAAAGTGGTGTTGTTGTTGTTATGTGCTGTCGAGTCCTTTACGACTCATAGCGACCCTATGTAAAACAGTCCTAAACCCTTCTCTATCCTGTGCCAATCCAATCACATGCCTCTGACACACCCATCCCAATTACCCCAGTCGCTGAATCAATCCACCTCATAGAGGGTCTACCCCTCCTGCGCTGTCTCTCCACCTTACCAAGCATGATGTCCCTCTCCAAGGACCTGTCTCCACAATATGTCCAAACATATTACAACATGTCCAAAGTATGTCAGAGGAAGCCCCAGAATCCTTGAGTCCAAGGAGTAGCCTGGTATATAACCCTCTCCAGGATGAGTCTGTTTGTTTTCTTGGCAGTCCATGGTACATTCAATACTCTTCTCCAGCACCACAGCTCAAAGGCATCAATTCTCCTTCTATCTTCCCTAGTCACTGTCCAACTCTCTGATGCATAACAAGTGATTGCAAAGACCATGGCCTGTATCAGGCGCCTTAGTCTCCAGAGAGACACCGTTGCTCTTGAGTACTTTAGAGAGGTCCCTAACAGCAGACTTTCCCATCGCAATACATTTTTTTTATTTCCTGGCTGCTGGTGCCAAGAGTGTTGACCGTGGAGCCAAACAAACTGAAGCTGTGAACAATCTCAATCTCTTCACCATCCATCCTGATGCTACCAATTGGTCCAGTGGTGAGATCTTTGTCTTCTTGACATTGAGCCTTAGTCCATACTGAAGGCTGCAGTCCTTGACCCTTCGCAGCAAGTGCATGAGGTCCTCCTCAGTTTCAGCAAGCAGGGTTGTGTCATCTGCATAACACAGATTGTTAATAGATCTTCCACCAATCCTGATGCCACACTTCTCTTCATAGAGCCCGGCGTCTCGAATAATCTGCTCTGCATACAGGTTGAAAAGGTATGGAGATAGGACACTCCCTTGGAGTACACCCTTCCCAATTTTGAACCATGGAGTGTTACCTTGCTGTGTTCTAACAACTGCCTCTTGGTCCAAGTATAGGTTTCGCATTAGCACAATTAAATGTTCTGGGATTCCCATTCTTCTCAGAGTCAGCCACAGTTTGTTATGTTCCACACAATCAAATGCCTTTGCATAATCAATGAAACACAGATAGACATTCTTCTGGTATTCCCTGCTTTCAGCTAAGATCCATCTAACATCAGCTACAATATCCCTAGTGCTAGCATAGAAATATATGAAAGTGTCAAATCACTACTTAGAAGTTTGAGGTCAGCTCTATTTTTAGATCTTCTATCTCAGAAATGGACTTTTAGAAATGTATTAATTACTATATATCTGACTAGCACACTTTGAAAAGTCCTAGAAGTTAAATCTATAATAATTATTACTAAAATAATCTCTAGCCTCACAAGTTAACTATGTCTACTTAGCAGCTAAACAGTTGTACAGACCTTTAAATAATAAACTTAAGGTCTTAAGAATTATTGGTATACTGGCTATGGTAAACGGTACTATGTTTTCTTACTTATAATGTGTCCATGTAAAAAAGGTGCAAGAGGGTTGCAGTTTGCAAAACAGTTTAACATGCATGTTGTCTGCATAAAAATACAGTCATGAGGTGGAAAATAAAACACCCTAGCAACTTTTCAGCCTTTATCCTCTAAATCCTAGTCCTTCCTATCCACAATCCATATATGATGTTATACCAAAAGCATAATCTAGGAGAGGGAATCAAATAAAACATTGAAGTCTAACAAATGAAACACAAAACTGTAATGAATTACATTTGATTCCTCAGAGAACGTAGGAGTCAAGAAATAGCAAAAGGAACAAAACACGTATTTGGAGCAAAGGACAGAGTGGAAATGGGGATGAGAACTAAGACTAGGAATATAGAAATTTTTCTTCTTTAGCAACAAGAGATAGTAAGAAAAATAATTCTTTACTATCACTAGTGGTGGTTCTGGTCCAACGCCAAATGGATTAGGTTGTTTTTCAAATTTTAAGATGTGTGAAGGAAAGCACACAAGACTTTTTAATAAATGATATTGCAATAAAATGTAAATTACCATTTTACAGTAGTAAAAATATCTAAAATATATTTTAAAACCTAAGAATTTACAGAAGAAAGGAAATCAATGAAATAAAAATGACTTTTGGGCCTCAATTCTCAGTAGTCTAGCAGTTATATAATGATGTAATAACCTCCCATAATATAATGAAAGAGGATTAGGGTGGGATGTAACACACTCAGATCAGAGTCCTGACCCTAAAGGGAGTTTTTTTTCTTATCAAGGATAAAAAGGAAAGGCACGGGGCAGGGGCAGTAGTGAGCCTTGTACAACCAAGAAAGACGAAAAAAGAGGGAAGAGCACCCTTTGGATCTGGGGTTCCAGGACTGAGAACCTCCTAAACCCACAGAAGACTAACGCCAAAAAACATGGAGATTTCCAAGGGACACGTCACAGTCCAGAGACACATCGAAATGAGAAAGGGACCTTCCTCTAAAGGCAACAGAGAGAAAATCCTCCCCCTAGGGGTGAAATCCTGAAGTCAACCTTCTAGCTTCCTAAACCGTAAGAGAATAAATTTGCCAAAGCCACCCCCTTAGACAATTTCTGTTACAGCAGCACTAAGAACTAACACAAGAGCCAAGGATATAACATGTGACATACTAAGCTAAAAAAAAAAATCAATAAAGCAACCTCAGATAAGCAAAATTTATACAATCAAAGAGTCAGTACTCAACACTAAGAATTAAATGGCTAGCCCTTAAGAGCTGATTACTTAAACAATCAGATGTTAGGACTGATTATAACCAGGTGGATGAACTGTTCCAGCCATGTGGTTATCTACTCCACAAATAAATCACTAATCGAAGCTCATTACTTAAAATTTCCTTCTTAATTTGTTATTTAAGAGCTAACTGAACACCAGTTTCTGTCATGAGTGAAAGTAAATTATTTTCATCAGAATTGATCGACTAGGTTCGCCTTCGAAGAGAATTCTTAAGACATTTACATGCTCATATATAGTTTACTAAACAGCTTCAAAGAAAGTGGCTGATTTTTAAACAAGCTTAAAAGCTTTAAAAAGCTTAGAAATAAGGAAAATAATTGTCATTTTAAATATAATTTACAAAAAACCTTCTCACATCAAAATAAAAATTTCACATGTGTTAAGATAACACATACAAAATCAGGGTAGACATATTCTTGATGTTGTTCTAGAGAGAGTCCTCTTTTATTCTGGAGAGTTCCTCTCTTTTTCTATTATTATTTTCAATTTGGCTAACGTCTACTGAAGCATATCTGGAATGTAATCTGTTTATTAGCCAGCTGTTCTGGCCTAGTCTGGATTTAGAATTTAAAAGCGTATGTGGCTCTAGAACTGTATATTAAAATGTAATTGCAAAATGAAGATACTTTAAAAGATTTTTTTAAAAAATGAAGATTTTTAAAAAAAAATACAAATATTTATTATCATCCATGTCACCAATAAACAGCAAGCACTCCACTAAGTACTTTAAAAAAAAAAAACAAAAAAAAAACCCCCACGGTATCTTATCTACAATTCAACACTCTTGCACCAGAAGTGTGGTAGCCTCAGCAATTAACAAATGAAAATACTGAAGACTCAGAACAATTCCTGATCCAAAGTTAGCTAAATGACTGAAACTACGGCTGAGACTCTCTGCTAAGAAGCTATTCACATTTCCACCCCAAACATAATGAACCAAAATCTACATTTCAACAAGAGTCCCAGGTCATTCTTATATATACCCACAAGAACCACTCCAAAGCCTTAGATCTAAGGCAGGCTGATAAAAGTCCAAAGTCATAAGCAAACAAAACCCAAAACATTAACCACTGTCTTACAATGTAAAATAATTTTTAAAACTCTTGTAGAATTTTAATATAAAAGTATTCGAAAAAGATAATTTTAAAAATCCAAAATATCTGTTATTGCAAATGTACTCAGAACAGCATGTTCTTTCCTAGAAATTAAAAACTTAGTAGGCAGCACACCCAACCCACACTAGGGACTTCCACGCTTAATCTTTAATGGAAAATGGTCTAGACAGACATATGACAAATAAGTATTTACTGCAGGATGGGGGAGTGAGAAGTTGGGAGTAGGGGTGTATTTTGTCTTTTATTTGTGTACTTTGTTTTCAACTTTGAGACTACTTTTAAAATACATTTCAATGAGTAAAAAAAAATCAAACACACCTGTCCTTTTTATCCACTTTTAAAAAACTTGAACATCTCAAAATAATCTGAGAACAGTTCAAGAGAACATTTGTAAAATTATGGTGAAACACTATAAAAAAGCTAGAAATAAATGGATTAAAATTTATTACACCAGGTAGTTACAATAAGGTACTATGAAAATGCAAACACTGGAGAAAACAGAACACTCATGGTTTGAGGCTCGACAAAGGCAACTAACAGTAGGTAATACTTCTGAAGCACAAGAAAACAAGGATACAAAAAAATGCAAACTATGAGCTCTTCAAACTTTAAAGATATGTAAATAATGCATACTGTCTTGGAACAGATGAAGAATTGTCTACAGGGGAAGAACTGTCTGAAAGGAATACAGGGATTAGGTATTACATATATGACAATAATCTGGAACAAGAGGTGCATTGCAAAGCCGACTGGTGGAAAAGGAAAGGGGAGAAAGGAAAATGTGCAACAATGAATGAATGACTTAATTAAAAAAGATTTCAGGGAACCAATGTATCAGAGAAAATATTTTCAAATCAAAATCCCTGGGAAAAAGTGAAGACAAAAAGGGCTCATTACAAGTGTAATCAACATGTTATAAACACAAAATATTTAAAGTAACACACTGAATTAAATTATACTGTAGAAAAGCATATCCAAATAGCCACTATATAAACACATGAATGAAAACAATTACTTGCTTTGAGGGAAGTTTTTATTTATACGCTTTAAGTGATTTCTATTCTTCAAACACTGAATTATCCTGACAGTAAAATTACTGTAGCATATTAGTGAGCCTCCATGACAGGAAAGTATACTGGACTAGGAATTTGAACATCAGTTTGAGTCCTTCTGCTCTGACACTATCATGACCTACGTAGGCTATTTACCTTCTCTGAGACTCTACTTTATAAATTCCTTGTAAAGATAACATCTGCCCTATCTACTTCACAAGGAGCTCAGATGGCACTATGTGTTAAGTGCTATGCTGCTAACCAAAATCCAAAGTGGTTTCTGAAATACTTAAATACGATATTCTAAGTTTAAACCTGATTTGAATGTTGTCACAGTCTATACAAAGTGGTAAGAAGCCGTGCTACCAATTCAAAGGTATATGGTTCAAATCCAAAGAAGAAAGATAGGCAATCTTTTCCTGCGCGATGTACTGTGTCTGAAAACCCAGTCGGGTTAGCTATGAGTGCACTTATGCAGCATTATTATATTAATCCATCAGCTGTTCTGTAGGAGAAGGACACCCACTGGAGGGTCAACTATGTGTTTGTTTGGACTCAATGGTGCACCACAACAACACTTTGAATTAACATACTATATTAATATTATTATCCTTACTACTATTAAACTCTGGTGGTCTAGTGGCAAGAAGCTATGCTGCAATCATGACGGCCACCACCCACTCTGGGGGAGAGGGATGGGCAATCTCCTCCTGTGAGATTAACTGCCTCTGACAACCCACCTTTCTGGTACTCAACAACAATAATACTGTTACTAAGTGATAGGTATTCTTAATGTTCTGTATGCATGAAGTCATTTAATTCTCACAGCAAAAAAACCTGCTGATCTCACTTGTGGCTTGTAGAAAAGTTTAACAAGTAATAATTATCTTATACTCTTTTTAACAGTAGTCCCCAAACATCTTTCTTTGATTCTCTTAAGTAATCAAGTGTTTTTACCCTATCTTACAGAAGCAAAAACTAAAGATAAGCAAGGTTTCAACATTGTGTGCAGGTACACAAGTATAACAAAAGAACCGTAACTAGATTCCAAAACTAACAGGATCTTTATGCTTTACCTTAATTCTTCAGCAACTAAAATGAACAGATAAAAAAACTGGTGGGGGTGGGGGCTGCTGTGGAATCAATTAGATTCACAGTGACTCCATCTATGCAGCCTAGAAGTGCTCCAATTAGTTTTCAAGGTGGGACCCTGCCTATTGAGGGGCTTCTGGGAGGGGGGGCCACCAACCACCAAACTTTCAAGTAATAGGGGATTTAGTTATCTGTGCCACCCAGAAACTCCTACAGGAAAACTACAAATACTGATAAAATTAAAATTCTATTTTTTTTAAAAAAAGATGTATGTTGCTTTAGTATTTTTTAAATAAAATTTTAATTTTATACTTGTTTATTTACAAAGTTTGTATACATTGTTTTTCACATTGGATCCTTTCCACCAACATATTTTCTAAGCACCCAATAGAGGAAGTCAGGATATTTTGCACCTTCAAAAGGATTTTTTTTGGTATGTTTTTTTAAAAACGAAATTGCTGACACAAACTAACTTTCCAGCATAACTTTTTACATTGGTTGTGCCATAATCACAGTAGGCACAGGGGATCTTGGTAGTAAGAAATCTAATCAATAATTGCTTTTGATATTATATTCAAGCGAAAATACAAATCAGTCTCAGACCAACGTGCTAGCACACTCATTTCTGGGCTGAGGTGTATATAGAAGCCCAGAAGATAAGGCAAATATAAAGAACAAGAACTGTCAAAAGGCTACTAGTAGGACAGAAGCGAATTAAAGACATGTAGAATACCTGCCTTTCCTGAGGCCTTTCCTATATTTATGTGTCACCATTAGGCAAGAACTATCACAATACAATGACGTGTCACCCGAAATCATCTATGGGAACCATGCTGTGGATTCTGAGTACAAAATTATATGATATTATATCAAATTGATCCTAAGCATAAATTCTAATTGGAATGGTCCAAGAAAACCCTATATTATAGCACTATAACGGCCTTCATATTTTATGTAACAATTCAGAGTACAGAAATTAAATAAAATTGTAGATTGGAAGGGAACCAAGTCTATTTACAGGCCTGTTTCACAAAATAAAATCAATCTACATTCCCCTTGAAGACACAACAATTAAATCTGGTTATCACATTAATACATACCTGGTAGAGTTCTTCTAAATTATACTTAATTGAAGTACTATTCTGGATAGCTTCCACTGCTTCCTTTAACTTCTGCCATGTTTCATCGGTATAGTTTTCTGGTAATTTAGGTTTATCTAGTTAAAATATTAAAGGTTGGTATCAAAATAATACATAGGATATAGTAATTGAAAGACCCAACAAACACAATGGCATTGTTTTAATTTTCCAGAGAAAACTGTTAACTTTTTAATTTTGTTACACCTAAATATTAAACTAACCACTGAATTTTAGCATAAAAATAAAATTTGATGTCATAAGAAATCTAAAATAATAACTGCTTTTGCTACTATTTAAGTAAAAAATTCTAGAAAAGTGATTCATTTTGACTATTAAAACTGAAGGTAAGCTTTTTACCCTTTCATCTCAACTGTACTGCTTCAAAACATGAAAATTCAATGACACATAAAAACACCCAAAATCCTGATCTTATTCCACATGTATAAAACCCAACTCAATATGAATTTAACACTTGAGATACCAATGGTCTGAAAAGTATTTTATAAACATCTCAATCTTCCAATAACATCCTGAGGAATATATTACTGTTTTACAAATAAAGAAACTGAGGCTCAAAGATCAATTTATTAAGACTTGTCCAAGGTCATCATAGGTAATTACTGGCAAAATTGGGATTCTAATCCAAGTCTGATGACCCCTAAATTTATGCAGGACCTACAGAAATAGAATTCTTTATTTGGGTTTTAATTTATACTACATTTACAAGCAGAGTGTGAAATGTTTTTAAAAGATATAAAACATCCAAATTCCTTGAAAAAAATTTTTTCACTTTAGTAAGGGGGCAAAAGGGTGGGAAACAACAAGAGCTCTGAAACCAGTCTGCAAATACAATTAGGATCATATCATACATAGCTTATTTCTTAAAAAAAAAATCAAAATACTTGGCTATTAAATTGTTATCTTTTTAAGTGAACTAATGATCACATTAGCCAACTACAATCCATATTCACTCCAGAAAGCTCCAGCAAATCAGAAAGAAAACTCTTCTGAGAGCCTGGAATGGGAGGGAAGTGATATAAAAAAAGAAAAGATGAAAAGCAAAACAATATAACCCCTTGATTAAGATAAAATATAGTCCCAATTTCTATACTAATATTGAAAACACAAACAAGGAAACCTAATTTTCTCAGCACTAGCATTTATCTAGCGGCACTTGCAAACATTACTTAAGTTCATTCATTTACTTCTCCATTCAATAGACATTTAGTATGTCTTACAAGTATTAAGAGTGTTGAAAAAGTAGTCAGAAAAACGGAAACACATATAAATTAAACCAATCCAGTAACTTTATAAATTGCTGGTTTTATATTAGTGTCAGTGCATTCATTAGATTCTCAATCATATATATCAATCACAGTATTTGTGAATTTTCCTAAAAGCTGTAGGTAAGTACTTTATAACTTATCTTAGTGATGTAAAATGTAGTAACTGTTCCTCTTTAGACTGATGTTACACTGAATTACAATTTCTGTGTACACAAAGCATCTTGTATTTCCAAATATTATTTTAGAAAGAAATGCAGAGATCACACTTTTTCTCCAAATACTGTTTCCAAAATGAGTTGCAAAACATTGTATTCAACATTAAAAAACTAACTATAAATCTTATTTGGGTATCAAAGGCTTACCATTTCTACCTGCATTTCTAGGAATTGGAGAATGTGGCCTACTGAGGCATTAAAAAGAGCCAAAGCTCACAAAACTCTTGACATAAATAATCTTTAGATTACAAGTTTCTCACCTGTAAAATCTGGATCAATCATACCTACGATTGATGGTGGAAGAAACAGCAAATGAAATACAATGGCTTAAGATCTCAAGATGCTGTACAGAAACACTCAGTGTACAAGTATACTTCTGTACAAGTATACTAAGCACCATTGGAAAAAATGAACACTCTACAAAAAAAAAGGACCTCCCTCCCACCTCATTGATTATGCAGAAAGCATTAGACCACCTCTATACTGCTTAATATATTAACATAAACAGAGCACGTGACCACTCAAGTGTCAAATCCTTACTAAGTGATTATGATTTTGGCCTCGGTTACCTTTAAAGTTCTTGATCACTAACTTCTTAGCAGAGCCAGGTTTGCTGTTAGCAAAGCTAGAGACGGTGGTAGAAGATTTGGCCAGGCCGTTTGCATGGTGCACCGAAGCCACAGAAGAGATTAATATACTCTTATGTTTAAGTTGTTGCTGCTGAGATGGTGCAGCAGTTGGTGAAGATGAGGAGGAGGAGGAGGAGGATTCCTCAGCCATCTTCGCATCAAACCCTACAAACTCCAGGTTGTCTTCAAAACGCAGCTTCTTCTGTATTGGGTGGCTCGAAGTAGCCCCTGAACCCCCTAGGCAGAAGGCCGAGGTTGAAGGGGATGCTGAATCCCTTGGTTGTAAAGGAGGAGTGGAAGAGGAGGAAGAGGTGGAATCAAAGTCTTCTCTCTCGTTACTACTGTTACTGCTGCTGCTGCTGCTACTGCTGTTTAACTTTCTCTTCTTGGCAGAGGTGGGCGGAGTGGTGCTGGTATTACCATCAGTAGCAGATCTGACCTCCTGAGCAGCAGCAGCAGCTGAGGGATTGGGGGAAGAAAAACCTGTTGGAAACATGAAAATAGCGGGGTCAACAGGCAGAGGAGCATCAAAAACCTACGTTTATATGCCTGTGTGCGTGTAGGGGAGAAGGTGGTAAAGCTAGAGGGGGAAGGGAAGAAAGAGGAGAAACACAGAGGACGAGAAGGAAAGTGAGGGGGGAGCTACACCGGGGAAATGGGAGGGTTTGGGAAGGAGGATAGGCTGACACCAAGAGTGAGCAGAACGAGGGGGGACAGCGAATGAGGAGGGAGACAGGTAAATGGCCCTGCCGTCCCCCTCCCCTGATTTTCAATCTTCCCCCCCCCTTTCTGCAGGAGCGACTCAGAGAATCTCTGAGGCTGCAGCTCCTCCTCCTTTTCTCCCTCTCTCTGGGAGGGGACTTGCTGTAGCTTGGGAGGGGGAGGGGGAAGAAACCCGGGGCTTGTTATTGTCAATAGCACAAGAGGCTAAAGATGGCGACACTTCCGGTCACGCGGCATCGAGGGAGGGGCAGCGTCTTGCTCTGGGAGATTGGGGGTGGGGGGGTGGAGAAATGCACTGCAGCTACTTGGGGGGCGGGGGGGGGAAGCAAAGGAGCTAACAAACACTGAGGTGGTGGGAAAGGGGCGGCTGAAGCGCCCCGGCCAGTCCCTACTCTTTCGCTCGTTCTTCCTCTCCCCTGCATCACTCTCCTCCCCCAGCTCACCGGGAACTCCCACCCCCCCCCCCTTAAGGGTCCCGTGGGAAGCCGCGCGCTGCAGCGCCCTTACCGGAAGTGACTGGGCAGACACTTTTCATAGCGCCCAGCTCCCGAAGCCCCCAGGTCTGCAGACTTAAGTTGGGGGGGGGCCAGTGGGGGGGAGAGAGCAGGGGAAAGGGAGGAGGGGGCGGGCCTGCAAGACACCTTCGGATCTTCTGATTGGAGCTTTCTGAATACGGGGCGGGAGGGAGCTGGTGGGTGGCGGGAGAAGGAGCGGGAAGAAGCCTGCAGGGGAGGGAAGGTGGTGATGGCTGGGGCGGGGTGAGCTAGCTGGGAAAAAAAGAGGAGGAAAAGGGATGGAGTAAAAACTAAGTGAACAGAAAAACTTCCAAAGACAAAAAGGACTAAGAAGTTGCAAGGTGAAGGGAGGAACCCTGAATGGAGTTAAACATAATAAGTAATTATGCGTGTTGCTAAAGAGGAATGTCTGTTAAAATAGGAACAGAATGAAAAGCTTTGATAGAAAAAAAGGAGTTTGGATTTGGTGAAACAAAAAAATTGGGTTGTTTTTTTTTTTATCTCAAGGACGTAAGGAACCAACCACCGATTAGGCCCTGGGTTTTGATACTTTTATCAGTAAGATAACTGCAAATTCTTTTATGAGAAAAGGAGCATTTTTCTCAGAGGGCTGACCGGTTAAACCAAGCCCCAGGAAGATAACAAACCCCTTTCAGTACAATTCCCAGGCCTACCTCCTACCCAATTCCCATCCTATCTGTCCTTAATTCAGTGATTCATAGGGCTGAGGGGGCCACTTCCTTCTTTCACTAAATTTTCCCTGTACATTCTGTCTCAAAAAAAAGGAAGATAACTGGCTAAAGTCAATGATTTCTACCAACATGTTCAATGGGCCCAGGTTTTAAATGAAATTTTAAGAGGGAAAATTTTAAATTTGGTTAAATAAGCCATAATATGCTATGCGTCAGAAAGCTGGACAATGACTAGGGATGATAGAGAATTGATGCCTTTGAGCTATGGTGCTAGAGAAGAACAAACAAGTTCATCCTAGAGAGGGCGAAACCAGGTTGCTACTTGGAGGCAAGGATTCTGAAGGATCTGAGATACTTCGGGCATGGATGTCCTTCTCCATGGAGGAGGACATCATGCTTGGGAGGGTGGAGGGACAGACAAGAGAAGAAGCCCCTCAATGAGATGGGAGTGATTCAGTGACTGGGATAATGAGGGCAGTAGGTATGTCAGAGAGAGACTGGCACAGGATAGAGGAAGTTTCAGGGCTGTTGTACACAGGGTTGCTATGTGTCACAAGTGACTTGAGGGCACATAACAACAACAAGCCACAATAATAAATTCACTGTTGGTAGTTTTAACTTAACCTGAGGTCATTATGAGAGAAGATGACAAACACAATGTCAAAACTATATTTGCCAACCTGTTGATCATCTTAACTGAAGAAACATTCAGTGAGTATGTGCTAAAAGACCCACATGCCAGACACTATGCCAGGTCCCTGCCCTTGAGAAGCCAATGGGAGAAGAGAATTTCCAAACCAATTACTCAAACAGTACTGTGACATATAAACAAAATAATAGGGGAACATAAGGACTGGAACAAGAAATTTGGAGTAGCCAGTAACTGTTTCAAAAGAAGAGAGGACTTTATGCTGGATCTCTAAGTGGGAATTGCCAAAAAAAGACAAAAGGTGGGCTTTCAAGGCAATGGAAACTTCTTGAGCTAAACAGGGAATTGTGAAAGGACCAGGCCAGTTTATAGAGATGGAATGTGCAGAAAAGGAGGGTATCTCTGTGACTGAAAGTAAGAAAGAGGAGGCTCAAGAGTGCCTAGTATAGCGATCATGAGTGTCAGAATCTATCCTGAAGGTGATACTGCTGTATTCTTTCTGGGGGCATTGTGCTGCTTCCAAAAAGTCACTTTTTCAAGTCTACCAGCTACCCCCTAAGAGAAATATGAGCAGCATCCTCTCAAGATTTATAGCCTTGGAAAAACAAGGGAAGGTAACTACAAGTCAGCTGTGGGGTTCGTCTTTATAAGGGTGGGTTAACTAACAAATTTTCAGGATTTCATTAAGAAGATTGTTTTAATTTGTAATAGTCATATTCCTTAGAATGGAGTATGCATGTTGAAAAAAAATACTTACGTTAGTGCAACTGAAAGATAATTAACATAAAAAATTGTTTTTGCTAAAGATAAACGTATATTAATCTAATAGCTGAGTCCTATGTTCTAATAATAACTTCCAAATTGGCAAGGCCTGTAAACTCTAAAAGTATAGATCCTTAGTTCTTAAACACAAGCTCACTTTTAATGATCCAATAATCGAACCTATTGTTTAAGAGTTGTTAGTTTTTTGGTTTGTTTTTTTATTAATGATCGTTAATCTTCCTTTCACAACCTCATTTCACTTTGTGCCAGGTCAACCCTTATATACTTGTTGTGTAGCATAGAGTCAGAACCTACCCATGAGGGACCCTCCAGTAGGTTTTCAGAGGTGGTTAATTGCACAGGAGAAGATTGCTCATCCTTCTCCACCAGAGTTTCCTCTTATATACTTAGCATATCCTTATATGGACATGCTATTTGACTTAGTGGTAAGGAATTGTGCTGCCAATATAGAGGTACATGATTCAAATCCACCAGCTTCTCCATAAGATGGGAAATTTTCTCCCATGAGATTTACTGCCTCTGAAAACCGGGGTCAGCTTCCAACTCGACACAAAACAACAGCAACATTTTAATAATGCTTTTTATTCAACATTTACATTTTGTGGCACAGAACAACTTGCAAATTACTATATGACATGAGAGGATCAGAACTGTGTTTCTTGTTTCTTCTTGGATGCTTAAATCCATTTGAAAAGAAATTACAAGGCTGCTGAACAGCCGATGCAATGCAGGGATATAGATCTTTAGGAAGACCCAGATTGCTGAGACCTTCATCACGTTTGAGGTCGTCAAGCCCAGTGAGTGATGTCATTGAGAATGTCAAAGCCAAAATCCAAGACCAGCAGTGGCAGGTATTTGCAGGCAAACAGCTAGAGGACTGGCTGCACACTCTCGGATTACAGCATCCTCAGGCTACATCTTCCAAAAGGAGTCTACCTTGCATCTGGTGCTGCATCTGTGTGGCGGCATTACTGAGCTTCCTTGTGTCAGCTTGCCAGAAGTACAGCTGCAACAAGATGATCTGCCACAAGTGTTACGCTTGCCTGCACCCCTGTGCTGTCAATTGCAGCAGGAAGTGTGGGCACACCAATAACCTGAACCCTAAGAAGGTCAAATAAGAGCCTTCACTAGCTCCCTTGCCTCCTATAGATGGCCTCCTTCCAAGCCCCATGGCCCTCGGCCCTCAATAAAGTCTCCATTTCATTGAAAATAAAGAAAAAATAAAATACTTTGCAAAACATTTGTTAAATCAAGAATCAATCCAGTGGGGCTAGCTAAAACATGTAAACATATCTTATCCTATACATTGGTACCACGCACCACAAAGTTAGTAACGCATGTTAAACATATTCTCAGAACTAAAATACGTTTTTCAAGATTGAACTCTGCAGCCACAAAAATCAAGCTGTGTAATATAGGGCACCATACAATTATAGCCATCATCAGACTAAACTAGATTGGGCACTTAACACATATTCCATATATAGAATCTTTCATCTTGTGAGTTCAACTCATACCTTAGAAACATTAATTAAACTTTACAGTGATGCCCTATGAGGTATTGTTATTATGGGCTTTATTTTAACTAAGTAAATAAATAAATCTAGCTAGCTATGAGGTAAATCTATAAAGGAAGAAATAGAAACAAAGTCAGAGGACTCATTTTCCAATGTTCATTCGTAGGAATCTCTGTAAAAAGGGAGCCCAACCTGTTTCTTTATTTATCACAGAAAATTCCTCCCCCTCCCCCAGGGGCTTGGCCTTAGGTTTTCTCCAGATATAGCAGGAACTTGTTAGTAAAGAAACATTCTTATTATCCAAAGGGCAGGATTTTCCTTAAAAAGAAGCAGCTGCTTGCTCAGGAGAATACTGGACATGTTGTAAGGAGGAACCGGTCCTTGGAAAGGAACATCATGCTTGGGAGGGTGGAGGGACAGCGCAGGAGGGGAAGGCCCTCTATGAAGTGGATTGATTCAGTGACTGGGGTAATCAGGATGGGTGTACAGAAGACAGTACGATTGGCACAGGACAAAGCAGAGTTTAGGGCTGTTGTACACAGGGTTGCTATGAGTTGCAAGCGACTCAACGTCACATGGCACATAACAACAACATATAGGGTGTGGAAAATATAGAA